CGTTGAGGCAGGAAGCCGTGGCCGATATTCGGTCTGGAGGACATTATTATTATTACTTATACCTTAATCCAAAAAGTAGTAATCCATCCATTACAGCCAATAAAGTGAACTGATGAATGTAGGCCTACCCCATGGATTAGCCTCATATGGGGGATTTAGAAATAGTTGCCAAATTAGCTGGTGGGCTGGCAACCAACCTTTCTTTATAAATTTGAGCTACTATCAGCCAGATGCTAAACGCATTTCGAACGATTTAGCGAACCGTTTGGTTAAAACGTGTCAACTGTCAACAACGTACGAACAGAGACTGGCTAAGCTTTTATTTGTCCGATTATAAAATGGGGAGGAATTAATTTATGCAACGGTATCCTCCCCAATTAGCTTGCCATTGGCGCTTCGAAGATTTGTTGTATCTCTTTGGATTTTCTATCGGATATACCACGGAGAGTGATCTGAGGAATTATTTGGATTAATTCCAGTCGCCAAATTTTACGAACGCACATCGGAACACAGGTACGATACCATTTGCACCTTCTGGATGCTTGGCGGCCCACCACTGTACGTTTTACTAGGAGTTTTCTTCCTCTGTAAAATCGTTTACCACCGGCATTTTTTCCGGATCGATACGATTTAGGGACCTTCAAGAAAAGAGCTTACTCTTTTCTAAAAGGCCCGTAAAGTACCTACAATGCCCCTGGTGTTGCAATTGTTCACGGGCGGCGTTAGTCACTTTCCATCAGGAGAGCCGCATGCTCGTTTGCTCCCTCTTCTAAAAAAAATGCTACTCCAGCCCACACTTTCCGAAATTTCTGTAGAAAATCGAAAGGCTGCTTTGCGCCTGTGTTCATGACTGGTGAGATTTTAGTGCAACCAGATTCGAATCACAAATAAGCCTAGAACCTATGGTTTTAGAAAATTCTGTTTAGTATATTAAAATTTAATTATAATTTTAAAATTTTAAGACTGTAATATTTTAAAACGAATAAAGATTTAAAAATTTTACATTACATTGCTTTTATAAAGCACTTGCTATGAAGGCAGGCAATTCCAGGAATAAGGTATTTTTCCAAAATATGTAATATTTTCGTGGATCTAATTTATCATTTTAAGCACATTAAAAGTCGGCTTGTTACTCGTATGTAATAACATCATAAGATGCAAAAGGTTTTTGCGAATACGAAAGTATAAAATTCTATCAGTTATTTCTCGTTGCTTTGAGACTTTTTGAATAAAATAAGGATAAATAAATTATCTGTTTTTAAGACAAAAGCAATGCTCCCCAAATAATGACAACTATTTAGTATATATTAGTATAGTATTTATTTCTTAAAAAATGTTATACCTACACGGGAATTTTCTCCTGTATTGCGGAGGCAGAGACATGAACAAACGTCCACAACCGAAATAATTATTTGTAGGTTATACGTAAAAGTTTTAATTCCCGGTGGTCACGGGGGAGGGGGGTTGAGGTCTTTAACGTCCTGATATCATTGGGATTGGATTTAAGTTTGTTAATAATAGGGTCAGATGGTAGCACTCATCCATACAGGAAATTAACCTCTCAGCCGCCAGCTAAAATGACTAACATCGCTCGCTCGCTTGGCGTGACGCGGCGTTGCTAAAATTAACCTAACCTTGAATTTGTCGTACATTTAATTTCAATAATATTCATTATAAATTTAATACATGTTTCTGTTTATTTATTATGTTATGTTACTTGTTTTAGTGCTTTGAAATAATACTAGTTTTTACGGAATTTATCGCGTATATTTAACTTTTTAATTACCCGACGTTTCGAGAGCTTTACAGCACCCATGGTCACGGGAAGGACTGAGATGTTCAACGTCCAGCTGTCATAGTTAACCGCGGTTACCATAGATTAAAATTTAACTTTTGTTCCGATCTACACAGTATGAACTTATGGTATCATGGAGTCTTGCAGTTGTATGCTTGGGTTGGGATTTAATTTTATTTATTATAGGATCCCAAGCAGATGGTAGCACCCAGCCATCTTCTCTATTGAAATTAGGATGTTTTTTGATTTCAATAGCCTCGCGAATCATCCTTGGAAGGAATCGGTGTTCTTTAGCGAGGATTTGTGGTCTATCAAATCTGATGTAGTGACGGGGGCGATCCTGTACATGTTCACAGACTGCAGACTTCCCGGAGCGTCGATTCTTCACATCAGCTATATGTTCTTTGACGTGGGTTTTAATGGATCTTTTAGTTTGTCCTATGTAGGAGAGACCACATTCACAATCAAGCTTGTACACTCCTGCATCTTGCAGAGGGACGTTACACTTGACTGATGGTAAAAACTGACCAATCTTCTTCGGCGGCTTGAAGTATGTTTTGATGGAAGCGCGCTTCAAGATGTAGCCAATCTTGTCAGTGACTCCTCTAACATATGGCAGTACAGCAGGTACACGCTCGACTGTGGCCGGCTTCACTCGTTCTCTGTGACGTAGGCGCGGGACCCGAAGCTTGTTGTCATGCAAAACTTGCTTGACATGTTGGAGCTCGGCAGCCAGGTGTTTACTGTCACAGATCCCTCGTGCTCTCTGAAACAAAGATTTACCCACGGTAGCTAACTGTGAAGGATGGTGGTGAGAATCACCGTTTAAATATCTATCTGTATGGGTCTTTTTTCTATACACAGTATGGCTCAAGGTGTTATCAGGATTCCGAATTACTAACACATCTAGAAAAGCTAAGGAATTGTTTGCCTCTAACTCCATTGTGAACTGAATTTTAGAATTTATAGAGTTAAGATGGTCTAAAAATGCAGTTACTTTATCTAAAGGTAGAATTGTGAAAGTGTCGTCTACGTACCGCTTGTAGAAACTTGGATTTATGGGAGAAGTAAGCAGGGCTTTCTCCTCAAAGTTTTCCATGAATATGTCGGCGACAATGGGAGATACAGGTGAGCCCATCGCCACACCATCTACTTGCTTGTAGAACTCCTCCTTCCACAATAGGTAGCCAGATGTAAGGCAGTGTCTGAGTAATACTGCATATTCTACGGGCATGTTGTTTTCTTCCAGCCTTCTAGTTACAATTGAGATGCAGTCTTCAACAGGTAAGCATGTAAACAATGACTGCACATCAAAACTGACCATAGTTTCATTGTCTGCCAGACGTAGGTCTTTAATCTCGCTGACAAAATGGTAGGAATCCTTTATGTGTGCTCTTGTATGTCCCCTGAGCGGTGAGAGTATTTTCGCTAAGTGTTGAGCCAATCTGTAAGTTGGTGAATCGATTTGGCTCACTATGGGGCGTAATGGAGCATTGGGCTTGTGTATTTTTGGTAACCCATACAAATTTGGTGATCACCAAAGCAAGTAGATGGTGTGACGATGGGCTCACCTGTATCTCCCATTGTCGCCGACATATTCATGGAAGACTTTGAGGAGAAAGCCCTGCTTACTTCTCCCATAAATCCAAGTTTCTACAAGCGGTACGTAGACGACACTTTCACAATTCTACCTTTAGATAAAGTAACTGCATTTTTAGACCATCTTAACTCTGTAAATTCTAAAATTCAGTTCACAATGGAGTTAGAGGCAAACAATTCCTTAGCTTTTCTAGATGTGTTAGTAATTCGGAATCCTGATAACACCTTGAGCCATACTGTGTATAGAAAAAAAGACCCATACAGATAGATATTTAAACGGTGATTCTCACCATCATCCTTCACAGTTAGCTACCGTGGGTAAATCTTTGTTTCAGAGAGCACGAGGGATCTGTGACAGTAAACACCTGGCTGCCGAGCTCCAACATGTCAAGCAAGTTTTGCATGACAACAAGCTTCGGGTTCCGCGCCTACGTCACAGAGAACGAGTGAAGCCGGCCACAGTCGAGCGTGTACCTGCTGTACTGCCATATGTTAGAGGAGTCACTGACAAGATTGGCTACATCTTGAAGCGCGCTTCCATCAAAACATACTTCAAGCCGCCGAAGAAGATTGGTCAGTTTTTACCATCAGTCAAGTGTAACGTCCCTCTGCAAGATACAGGAGTGTACAAGCTTGATTGTGAATGTGGTCTCTCCTACATAGGACAAACTAAAATATCCATTAAAACCCGCGTCAAAGAACATATAGCTGATGTGAAGAATCGACGCTCCGGGAAGTCTGCAGTCTGTGAACATGTACAGGATCGCCCCCGTCACTACATCAGATTTGATAGACCACAAATCCTCGCTAAAGAACACCGATTCCTTCCAAGGATGATTCGCGAGGCTATTGAAATCAAAAAAACATCCTAATTTCAATAGAGAAGATGGCTGGGTGCTACCATCTGCTTGAGATCCTATAATAAATAAAATTAAATCCCAACCCAAGCATACAACTGCAAGACTCCATGATACCATAAGTTCATACTGTGTAGATCGGAACAAAAGTTAAATTTTAATCTATGGTAACCGCGGTTAACTATGACAGCTGGACGTTGAACATCTCAGTCCTTCCCGTGACCATGGGTGCTGTAAAGCTCTCGAAACGTCGGGTAATTAAAAAGTTAAATATACGCGATAAATTCCGTAAAAACTAGAATTATTTCAATGTGTAGTGTTCGCGTAAATATAAGAAATCATTATTGTTTTAGTGCTTTTACTTCATTACAAATATATTTTCATTGTATTTTTATAGTTAAAAATGTACCCACCTAGCACAGGACGGCAGCTTAAATATCACAAATATTTCTATATATTACTCGAAATTATTTACGTAAAAAGATAAATTACATACAAAAAATTTATAACAATATTACAATAAAACACTATACTAAAAACTAATAAAATATAAGAATCTAAAAATCAACACAATAACACGCCACATGAAATAGGCGTACGAAATGAACGTAGATTATAATTATATATATAGTTGCACACGACGATGACGTTGACGATGACAGTGACAATGATGATGACGATGATGATGACGATGACGATGTCGATGACGATGAAAGTTGATTCTTGACGATATGACGTTGACGTTGATGATGACGATGACGATGACGTTGAGCACGACGATGAACGAAGATGACGATGATGACGACGAGATGGGAACGATGACGATGACGATAACGTTGACGATGAGGATAAGGATGACGATGACGTTCACGATGACGATGACGATGACGATGACGGTGACGAAGACGTTGACGATGACGATGACGATGATGATGACGGTAACGACGATGTTGACGATGACGATGACGGTGATAATGACGATGAATGACGATGACGTTGACGATGATGACGACAATGACGACGACGATGACGATAAGGTGACGTTGGCGATGCCGACGACGATCACAATTACGATGACGATGACGATGAGGTGACGTTGACGATGCCGACGACGATCACGATTACGATGACGATGACGATGACGATTTCATGATGTTGACGATGATGATAACGAGTCGATGACGATGACGATGAGATGAAATGAGTAGAGATGATGTTGACGATGATGATGATGTTGACGATTACGATGACGATGACGATGAATGACGATGAATGACATGACGATGACGATGACGATGACAATGACGATGATGTTGACAATTATGATGACGACGACGATAAATGATGATGAAGTTAACTATTACAATAAAAATGATGACGACGATGATGATGGCGATGACAATGACGTTAACGATGGCGATGATGCTGACGATGACGATGACGACGAAGATGACGATGACGTTGACAATTACTATAACGATGTCGATGAATGACGATGACTTTGACGATGATGATGGCAATGATGATGACGATGACGATGACGTTGATGATGACGATGAACGAAGATGACGATGATGACGACGATAATGATAGCCATGACGATGACGATGACGATAAGGATGACGATGACGTTCACAATGACGATGACGATCGATGACGTGGAAGAGTGAGATGACGATGACGATGATGATGACGGTGACGAAGACGATGACGATGACGATGACGATGATGATGACGGTGATAATGACGACGTGAAAGAGGGACTCTTTATGATGAACTCTTTCTTCCAGAAGCGGCCCCACGGGAAGTGGTCGAGCCCCGACGGTTCGACAAAAAATGAGATTGACTTCATTATGACGACCAGACGCCAACTGTTCAGTGATGTCTCAGTTATCGCAAGGGTGAAAACCGGCAGCGATCACCGAATGGGTAGAGGCACACTGAACCTAAACGTTAAGTTGGAGAGGTCTCGTCTAATGAAGTCAACGCTCTGTCCCCCTCGTGCTCTAATCCGGAATCCCGAAACCTTTCAGCTCGAGTTACGTAACCGCTTTCAGTGCCTAGAAGATTGCAATGCAGTGGACGATATGAATGACAAGCTCGTGGAAAATGTCATGCGGTCGGAGCTAAGTTCTGCAAGACCCGCTGCAGAAGAACACAAAAACTCTCCGATCACACTCTTAATCTCATGGCTGGGGAGATGAGGCTGCAATCGTCAACAGATTTGACAGCATACAGGCAACTGAATAGACAGATCTCCAAATGCATGTGGCTAGATTTACGCAACTTTAATACAGCTCGTATTAAAGAAGCGATCGAGCGGAACCGGAGCTCCAAAGTCTTTGCCAGAGATCTGTCTGCCAATGTTGTCTGAAAACTGTCAAACTGTGTTTAAAGTCTTTGCCAGAGAAGATAAAGAAGAGATCTGTCCTAGTAAGGATTAGCTGAAGACTGAGTGTGGCGGCATCGTTTCCGGGACACCTGAGATTTTGAGTGAGATTGAGAGGTTCTGTGGGCAGCTGTACACATCATCGTTGGGGCCACACGCAAGTGTGAGTAACGATCCAAGAGCAAGTCTTATCCGACACTATTCCGATGATATCCCGGACGTCAGTCTGAGCGAGATTAGAATGGCTCTCCAGCACCTTAAAAATGGCAGGGCTCCAGGCGAGGATGGAATTACAGCGGAGCTTCTGAAAGCGGGTGGAACACCGGTACTTGAAGTCCTTCAGAAGCTCTTCAATTCCGTCCTCCATAGTTAAACTACTCCGGAGGCGTGGAGCAGAAGTGCGGTGGTCTTGTTCTTTAAGAAAGGCGACAACGCACTCTTGAAGAACTACAGACCGATTTCCCTTCTGAGCCGCGTCTACGTGCTGTTTTCGAGAGTCATTACGAATCCTCTCGCACGCAGAATCGACGAATTCCAGCCTCCCGAACAAGCCGGTTTCCGAAAAGGCTTCAGTACCATAGACCACATACATACCCTTCGGCAAATTTTACAGAAGTCCAAAGAGTACAATCTGTCACTTTGCCTGGTATATTTGGACTATGAAAAAGTTTTTGATTCCATCCAAATTTGGTCGGTGCTACAATTTCTTCAGCGGTGCCAAGTTGACTGTCGGTATATCGAAGTGCTGAAGTATTTGTACAGTAGGGCTACGATGGCTATACCACCAGAGTACGAAACCCATCCAACCGCAAAGTGGTGTAAGACAGGGTGACGTTATATCCCCGAAAATCTTCACCGCTGCATTAGAAGACGTTTTTAAACTACTGCACTGGAAAAGATACGGTGTTAAAATCAATGGGGAGTATATTACTTTTCTTCGATTTACCGACAATATAGTCCTTATGAAGAATCGCTGGAGAACTTAAGCACTATGCTCAATGACCTCAATAGTACCTCCCAACGGATAAGTCTTAAGATGGACATGGACAAAACAAAGATCATGTTTAATGTCCATGTCACACCTATGCCGGTAGTTGTTTGGAGCACTAAGCTAGAAGTTGTTGACGAGTACGTTTACCTGGGACAAATAGTCCGACTAGGTAAGTCCAACTTCGACCGAGAGGTCAATCGACGGATTCAACTCGGCTGGGCAGCGTTCGGGAAATTACGACATATTTTCTCGTCAGGTATACCTGAATCTCTGAAAACTAAAGTGTACAACCAGTGCGTGTTGCCAGTGTTATCATCATCATCAACATCATGACATAGTCATCGTCATCGTCATCGTAATCGTAATCGTCGTCGGCATCGTCAACGTCACCTCATCGTCATCGTCATCGTTGTTCATCGTCATTATCACCGTCATCGTCATCGTCGTCGTCACCGTCATCATCATCGTCATCGTCAAAGTCTTCGTCACCGTCATTATCGTCGTCATCGTAATCGTGAACGTCATCGTCATCCTTATCGTTATCGTCAACGTTATCGTCATCGTCAGCGTCATCGTCATCGTCGTCGTCATGGCTATCATTATCGTCGGCATCATCGTCATCTTCGTTCATCGTCGTCACGATCACGCCGATTGGCTTGGTTCATTGAGTTCCGGGAGTTCTGTTCATGATTTTGCCTTGTCATATGGTGTGACACAACTGGTTACTTCGCCTACGCGTATTCTATAAGCAGAAGTGCTACCAAGCCTGGGCTGATGCATCAACGTCCTGGGATGTAAACACCAGCGCTCTAAAAAAGAAGTATAATTCCGCCTCTAGGTCCTTCAAAAGAGTCATTTCAAAGGCAAATTCAGAGCACATAGGCAGAATTGGCGAGAAACTAGTTCGCCTTCCTTCTGGAACCCGTGCATTCTGGTCTCTTGTCAAGACTGTCCAGGGGAATTTCTGTCAGCCATTTCTTGCATCTCTGCACTGGGAGGACGACTCACTGGCCCATACCGCAAAGGAGAAAGCCGATCCGCTAAGCTCTTTCTTTGCGTCCAACTCGATGACGGGGGGAGTACGCCGCCGACCATCCCGCGGTATCAGTGCTCCATGCCGGAAGTGCAGTAACAGCGCTCGGTTCGCAAAGCACTCCTCTCCCTGGACATCCACAAGTCGAGTGGGCCTGACGGAATCCCCCCAATTGTGCTGAGGACGTGTGCTCTAGAGTTAGAACCGGTTTTAACGCTTCTTTTCCGGTACTCCGACTCCCTAGGAGTAGACCCAAAAATCATGGAAGACGGCTTTCGTCCACCCCACTCCTAAAAAAGGCGACCGCTCAGACCCGTTCAACTACCGACCTATCGCCATCACCTCCTTGTTCTCCAAAACAATGGAGTCTATTGTTAACTGCCAGCTCATGAGTTACCTTGAGCATGACCAGCTGATAGTGATCGCCAATACGGTTTTCTTGCCGTGTTCGGTCATGCTTGTGGATCTTCTGGTCTACCTAACCCAGAGATGGGCGGAGGCAAGGGAGAGGCATTGGCCGTTAGTTTGGACATTGCGGAGGCCTTCGATTGGGTTTGGCACAAAGTGCTTCTTTCGAAGCTCCCTTCCTATGTGCTTCCCGAGAAATTGTACGATTGGATCACCAGCTTTCTTGCAGATCGGAGCATCAAGGTCGCTGTAGACGGTGCAAGATCCGATTACAAGCCTGTTAATGCTAGTGTTCCACAAGGCTGCGTGCTATCGCCAATGCTGTTTCTTCTGCATATCAATTATATGTTGCAAACCCGTTACATTAATTGCTATGCAGATGACTGCACTGGTGATGCTCTTTACACCGGCCGTGCCAATATTTCTCGGGAAAAGTCTCCGAGTACCGGGACAAACTTCTGTCTGAAGTCGAGTCTTTGCTGAACAGAGTCTCGGATTGGGGGCGACTAAATCTAGTCCAGTTTAATCCCCTGAAGGCACGAGTTTGCGTGTTAATTGCTACAAAGAACCCCGTTGTTGTATCTCCTCAGTTTCAAGGCACTCCCCTTGTTGTCTCAGCCAGTATCGGAATTCTCGGCGTCGACATATCTAGTAACGTACAGTTTTGTGGTCACTTGGAAAAGAACGCGAAATTGGCCTCTAAAAACTTGGCGTGCTCAGCAGAACGGGACAATATTTCATGCCGGCACACCGCCTGCAACTTTACAAGGCGCAGGTTCGGCTGCACATGGAATGGTTTGGCCCCCATTTGTGTACTGTTTTGGCTTCTTTCCATCTCTGGGCTGGGGCTCCCCAGTACCAGCTCCTTTCACTTGACCGCATCCAGCGCAGAGTGGCTCGAATCGTCGATGACCGAGTGCTTTCCGATCGGATCGATTCACTGGCGCTGCGAAGAGATGTTGCATCTATTTGCATTTAAATTATTTTCTTTCGCATATACCATGGGGAGTGCTCTGAGGAATTGTTCGGATTAATCCCAGCCGCCAAATTTCGTAAACGCACTACGCAGCAAACGTCCTGATACCATCCACACCATCTGGATGCTTGGCGGTCCACCACTATACGTTTCAAAAGGAGTTTTCTTCCACGTACGACCTCTCTGTGGAATAGTTAACCACCGACGATTTTTCCGGACTGACCTGGGGACTTTCAGAAAAAGAGCTTACTCCTTTCTAAAGGGCCGGCAACGCACCTGCAATTTCCCTGGTGTTGCGGTTAATCATGGGCGGCGGTAGTCACTTAACATCAGGTGAGCCGCATGCTCGTTTGCCCCCTCTTCTATAAAAAAATACTACTAACAATTATAAGAATGCTCAGGACATGTTGTTGGCTCTAAAAATTAAGTAGAAATGCCTCTGTTCCTGTAATATCATATTCTTCTTCTGTAAGGAAGATAGCCGTGTGATGGTGACATAAGAAAATCCATCACCCCATTTCTCACTGTGTATATCCTAGGACATGACAATGGGAAGTGCCAGGAAAACTTATGGCTTCCGATTGATAGCGCTATAACTGTGTCTACGCCAGACGTAAAATATTCAAACCGGTGACGGGAAGCAAAGTCAAAGGCGTAATAAGTCTGGTAATTGGAAAAAGAAATACTACAATGCACTTGTAGAAAATATCTTTGGAAAACAACATTAAATAAAATGTTGTTCTAAAACCTATTTATTTAATTAAATAAATAA